AATAAAGTTAATTATTTTCACAATAAGCTGGGAAATTAAATGTTCAACAACAATTACAAATGATCAATGTATTAAATTAAATTGTGTCTTCATGTAAATTGTTATTATCACTGATTGTACATCAATTTATGTTTTTATCAAGTAAATTGTTTGGGTAAAATTAAATTAACTAACAACTAATAGTAATGATAATTGGTTAGGTTTGTATTTTGATTGATTGGATTAACTTTTCTGTTATTGTAATGGTTATCATCTCACTCCCTCAATTTTGATGATGAGGATGATGAAAATAGTGATGAGGATAAATATTTATTGTATTAGCTTTGACAAGAGAGATGATGATGATAACAGCGATGAAGATAATGAAGATAAAGATGATGCTCTGGTATCAGATGATCTTGTTAGTAACAATTTAGATTTGGATACTCAATGTGAAATCAATTTACGATTAAATCAAGTGATGAGATTATCTAATATGAGATTGTTTTTCTTCATCTCAATCATCATAAATTGATGAAGATGCTTTTATCATCATCAGATTATTTTCTCTCTTCTATGAAACAACTTTTTCCTCGTTTTTTTTTGCACCGAAATATTAATGTCTGGAACTGGTCATCTGCAGATCATCCGATTGTTCATAATTACTGGTGACCGTTGAACAGATTTTCAGTTTTCATTCATTGAAATTATTATAATCATTATGAAAATTGGCTCCATTGTGTTTGACCTTTTGGGTTACAGGTGATTTGATGAAAGGGTTAATGGTGTGTATGTCTAGTATGTTGGTGTTGTGAATTGGGGTGAGGTGAGCTAAGGTTAAAAAGGTCCAATGGTTACAGATAATTTGATACTCGGTCAACTACAATTTATGTAACATCTAAGCTTGGCTAACCTTGGATTTTATGGTTTCCTTGTTTCTAGGTTACTATTTCATTCATTTTCAATACGAATCTCTAGTTACCTGTAAACTTGAATATCTCCTCTTTCTCTCTCTCTCTCTCTCTCTTTCTGTTTTTCTCTTTTTCTGTTTCTCTCTCATTTGGTCTCACTTTCTCTCTGGTCTGTTACAGGTAACGGAACAATGAGGATGATGATGATTATTCACACTTTTATGGATATATTGCCATAGAGATAATATTATTATGTGGTTGATTGGTAGATGAATCAAGTGAACTGAATTAAAGTAGTGAATTTAGTGAAAAATTGTTTCAATGAATGAGTAAAGTTAGAAAAATGAATAGATTGATATTATATAATATAAATGAATGAATGAGTGAATGAATGAAAAATATTTGTAAGTAAATCTCAATCTCTTGTTATATTGATATGGTCATGGAGAGGTAATCTTGCAAACGAATGATCATCTTCACTTTTCATCTTTATCATCCATCGTCATCATCAATACCAACTTTACTTTCTCATCTTCTCTCTCTCTTTCTCCATCACTTCCATCCTAAAAATCATCTGTTTAGGTCAAAATTTCACCAATATAAGAAATTGAGAAATCTTTAAGAAACTATTCCAATGTTAATCATTGGAGTGAATAAAAAATCATATCAAATCAAATCAAGGTTAATCTTTTCAACCAAATCAAATAATCATGCATAGTTTAAATTCATATGATTTTTCTGATAATCTTGAGGATAATTAAGCAAATTTAAAGGTTTTAGATTTGTTTCCATAGAGATAATCATTTGAGTCCAGAACAGTTATAGTTTTTTCACAATCAAACAGAAATGATGATGATAATCTCATGGGAGTGACTATATAAAGATGATAATATTTTGCAGAGAGAGAGAGAGAGATGCTAAAAGTTATAAAGTAACAATCAAGTTAATGTTTTCATCAGTTTTTATCAACTAAATTATAATAACATTATACCAGCAATAGAAAACCATTATTATCATGATTACCACCAGAAACTTAGGATATAAAGGTTGATGAGGTGGAGGAAAAGGAAGAGGGTGAAGGGTCAAGTTTGAATAGGTTGAGAGGTGAAATTGAATTGTTTCCTTTGAAAGGACAATTTTTAATTCCATAGGGATCCATGAATAAGAATCAGGATTTCAGAGTTTCTATTACAGTCTAACAATAGATTGTAACCTTTTTTTTTTGAATGATGATGATGCAGGATGAGGATGATAAATTTGAAGATGGATGTAAAGTTAATCTTACCTCCCAGATGAATAGTTTTATTTCAATATAACTGCTTTTTAATGATAATCATCATCATCATCATCATCTTACCATAAGACTTATAATGTTACCTTGATAAAAAAAATGAAATTTTCACGAGCAAAAAAGTTCATCAAAACTTTTTTTCATCTTTCACTTTCTCCTGATCCTCATCATTATTTATCATCATTCATGATGACGATCATCACCAATCTTGATACTTTTCAAATTTAATGATGTTGATAATTTATAGTTTATATTAAAATTCAACCTGCAACAATCAAGTTAATCATCAACAATCAGAAATTTTGTTTTTTTTTCTGTAAACTTTTTTTTTCTTACACTTTACATATAAAGTGCAATAGGATGATGATAATTATATGCATTATATTTATAGTATGAATGATTTAATGATGATGATGATGATGGTATTGATATTATTCATCAAGAAACCTATATGTTGTGATGATGATGATCATCATCAAAGGAGGAGCATTATCATCATGATTTTATATCTAAAAGTGTATAGTAAATGAAGCAAAGAGATGCTCATATCTTTTGAAAGCAGTTTCTTTAAATTTCAATGGGATCATCATCATCATCTTTTTGTTTCATTTTTCATGGGATTTAATTTTTTTGCTCATGTTTCAGTCACAGAATCATCATGATCATCTTTAAGACATGATAAAAGGCTTAGTTTCATTACTAGATTCATGATGATCACTTTGAAATTGGGAAAACACTATTATTTATGTTGAACATCATGAGTATCATTTTTATCTTGAACTTTTTTCTTGCAACAATTTATCTCATGGTTCTGAATCATTTCATGTTGTTCTGTCTCTCTCATCAATGAACTTATTCATTGAGATTTTCATTGTAAATTGATTTACTGTTTCAATTTTAGACATTTGAATTGTAATCACCATTAATTGTGTTTACTTTTTTTGTCTGATTATCAACTTACAATCAAAGAGGAAAAAGTTTCAATATTTCTCATCAATTCCATGTAATCTCATGAGATTATCTCACGTCAAAATTGTACATCATTTGAATATGAAATTTTGATATTCCTGTGATTGTAATTATCGAGGACGGAAAAACAAGTTAATCATTTCCAAATGATTACAATTGTAATTGTCAGAAAATAGCTCTTGTAGAGACAATTAAACAGTTGATTGTTAATAGTCATAAATCAATTGTAATTGTAACAAAGCTAAATACTTGCATGTAATCAATCAATGATAATATAGTTACTCTAATCAATTGGAAAACAATTATCATAATCAAATTACCGGTTTGGACAATTTGTTGATTGTTTCAAAAAAGTTTAGCCAAAAAAAAAGGATAACAAACAAAAAGTTTCATTTTTCCTGTTTAATTGTGATTCCAATTGAATTCAAGGATGACAGAAGCAGAGACAATATTAATTGTCGAGTTAATTATAATTGTCAACAATTTTAAAGGTAAAAGTGAGGAGAAAAATTCTGTAAATTACCTTGGAAGAGAAAAGAATGAACTTTTTTTTTCTCTTCTATCGAATATGTCAGAACTTTTTTGTTCTAATCTGTCCTTTGAAATTTTCGGAAGAAAAAAAAATAAGACTGAACAACTTTTTCTTTCCTTCTTCCCTCAAGGCTATATTATAATCAATGATATTATCATGATGATTAAAATTGAGAGAGTAAAGTGTATATATGATTATGTGAATTGTTGAAGATGATTAAGATTAAAACTCTAATCATCGTGTTGAGAGGAAACGGTTAATTATGATTGGAAATTAGTTGCTTCTTAAATAATCAACTTTTTCTATCCTTTCACAAGGTAACACTTTGAATAACAAGATGATGATGAGAAGAAGACAATAAAAAGTGTCATATGTTATCATCGGTCCATGAAATTCAGTAGGTTGCCGAAACTCTGTGACCCGAGGAAGAGGCAGTTCGCCAACCTCCGCCATCTTTGATTCCACTGTACCTGAATCTCATGTTCGTATCTAGTTTACTCTCTCTCTCTTTTACCTTTCCGATGAATCTTCTTGTAATTATTGGCTAATTGTTGCTTAATTGTTGTTATAACTTTTTCTTTTTGTTTAATTTTCTTTTTTCAATGTTGATCATTTGATTGAATTTAAAATTCATTGCTACTCAAATTGGAAAACTTGATTTGAATCATGTTTGTTATTACTCTTTGTGTGTATTAGTATAATTAGCTTTGTGATTAGTTTTGCTGTTGTCATTTAATTTTGATTTTTTTTACCTGTTTACCTTTGATTGCTGGTAGTTAGTTAGTTAATAACAATTATAATCATTGCTGGTTTTTTTGTTGTTTGTTTCACTCCAATGATTTCTGGTAACTATTTTTTTTTGCTTCTTCTTTTACTGATTCAATTCTGAAATCAGGTTCAATTGTTGGTTCATTTTTTTATCTCATTTTATTTCCAACACTGAACTTGGATATTCCCTGAGATTCAATGATTTTCATTCACTTTCTTCATCTTTTATTGTGATTTAATTGCAAAAACAAAATCAGATTGAAGTTCGAGTTCGAGTTCGAGATTAAGTTCTAATTATGATTAGATCTCATCCACTTATTCTGGCTTTGCACCTTTGATGATGATTCTGATTTGATTGATTCGTCTCTTCCCATTAGATTAAATTGTTTAGTTTAATTTTTGCAGGTTAATTTTGGTAATTTAAATTGTTTCTTTTTCTAAATTGTTACAATTGAACATAAAAAGTTTTGAGAAACTATCGCCATCTATCAGGTAGAAACGTAACTAATTGAAATTCTTTTTAAAATTTTTGCGCTCAATGTGATTCTCTTGGTCTTTGTTTACTGATTGTTGGTTTTGTTATTCATCTCACATATTTGTGATTTAACTTAGACTTGATTTTTTTAATTGTCATTTAATTTCTTGTGGTTATTACTTTAAAATGGAGGTCGAAGAACGAGTTATCAATGAAGAATATAAAATCTGGAAGAAAAATACTCCATTTCTTTATGATCTTGTAATGACACATGCTTTGGAATGGCCAAGTTTAACTGCTCAATGGTTACCTGATGTTACAAGGTAAGACTTTTACATTTGATTACGATAGCACTTTGATTTGTTTGGTGTATATATTTAGTAAAATTGTTTGCTTCCGATATTGGTTTTCATTTTAAAGGCCTGAAGGAAAAGAACATTCAATTCACCGGTTGATTCTTGGTACACACACTTCCGATGAACAGAATCATCTTTTGATTGCCAGTGTTCAATTACCAAATGAAGATACAAATTTTGATGCTTCTCATTATGATAGTGAGAAAGGAGGTAAGTCTTGTATAATATCATATGTAAATTGAGATGTTATTTTATTAATTTATTCCTATCTGTTTTTTGTTTTGTGATCTCTATGTAGAGTTTGGTGGTTTTGGATCTGTAAGCGGTAAAATTGAAATAGAAATTAAAATAAATCATGAAGGAGAGGTTAATAGAGCTCGATTTATGCCTCAAAATCCATGTATCATTGCGACAAAACACCATCGAGTGATGTCTTAGTCTTTGATTATACTAAACATCCATCTAGACCTGGTAAGAACTGTTTTTAGATAAAATGGTAGAACGGTATTATTGGTGACTGTTAATAATTTTTGTTTCTCCTTCGTTTAACAACTTCTTCTTTAGATCCTAATGGTGCATGTTCACCAGACTTGAGGTTGAAAGGTCATCAAAAGGAAGGTTATGGCTTATCATGGAATCCACATGTAAATGGACATTTACTAAGTGCTTCTGATGACCATGTAAGTTTACATTTTACTTGAGAATTGTTGAAATTAAGTCTCTTTCCTTTCCTTTTTTAATATTAGACAACTTGTCTCTGGGACATTAACCATCCACCTCGAGAAGCTAAAAATGTCTATGCTAAGACAGTATTCACTGGACATACAGCGGTTGTCGAAGATGTTGCATGGCACTTGTTACATGATAGTTTATTTGGCTCAGTTGCTGATGATCAAAAACTAATGATTTGGGATACAAGAAGTAACAATACTTCAAAGCCAAATCATATTGTCGATGCTCATGCTGCTGAGGTTAACTGTTTATCCTTTAATCCTTACAGTGAATTTATTTTAGCCACTGGGTCAGCTGATAAGACTGTCGCTCTTTGGGACTTACGTAATTTGAAATTAAAATTACACACATTTGAATCACATAAAGATGAAATTTTCCAAGTTCAATGGTCACCACATAATGAGACAATTTTAGCATCATCAGGAACAGATAGAAGACTTCATGTATGGGATCTTAGTAAAATAGGAGAGGACAATCAGCCGAAGATGCAGAAGATGGTCCACCAAATTACTGTTCATTCATGGACACACAGCTAAGATTTCAGATTTCTCATGGAATCCAAATGAACCTTGGGTTATATGTTCAGTCTCGGAAGATAATATCATGCAAGTTTGGCAAATGGTAAGTTTTTATTTTCTTACACACTCTTCAAATATCAGAACTCGTTTTAGATCAAATTAATTAATTGTCATCTTTTCTCATTATTTACTAGGCGGAAAATATTTACAATGACGAAGAGCCAGAGACTCCAGCCTCAGAACTTGAAACTGCTGGCCCATGATCTTTACGACGATCTGATTGATTGTTGACCTTAAACTAATTTCATAATCGATCGCAAAAATATCACATTATTGTCGGAATTTATTATCATCCGATTTATACATGATATCAATTTCGATGTCAACTTAAATCTTTTAATGGTCATAAAAACTTCATATTTATTTACCCTGATCAAAAAAAATCCGATGAGAGAAACAATCAACCCACCAAATCAATAATGTCTAATCGAATCTTTTAAAAAATATCATTTAATTATCTTTTAAAGGCTCATTACATTTCCTCTCAATCCATTTCATTTTATCAATTATCTTATTCCTCAATCAAAGGATTCAAACAATTAAACAACTTTCCAGACAAAAAATACATGTTTAAAACATCAACTAATCATATCCAATTCGCTTTTTTTTTCATTTCATTTAAATTTCATTTTCAAATTATTTTTGTCAAACATTAATCAAACTGATCAATTGAATTTATTAAATTTTTCCAAAAAATTTACAATCAAATTGTTCACATTTCGATTCTATAATAGCAAGAAAAATCTCATGAACATGACAATTTAACTTTTCTCATATTTAATTGTAGTCAAAAAATTCTATTTAAACACCAACAATCAATTAGAATTGAAATTGACAATTTTCTTTCATTTTCTTACAAATTTTCATTGACACCCGAGGGCGAATGCTTCAAACATTTCAAGCCACCTTAGTGGTCACCAAAAGGCTAATCAATAGTGAAGATAAGTTCCAAAGTTGATTAATTCATTAGAATTGTCACGAGGAAAACGAGAAAATTAGAAAATAATATTAGAATTTCGATCTTTCAAAGTTAAATCAATTTCCCAACAAAATCTTACCACGAAAAGAAAATGGTTCAAGTTATTACAACGAAATAAGAGTAACAAAAACAACTAAAGTGACTGTTGACCTTTCATCATTTTGGTATCAACTTGGTCTGTGTGACAAGATGAGCAATAATAACACAAGATTTAATTTCAAATTCGCAGGTAAAGTTAATTAAATTAAAATTTAGAAAAAAGTTGAACAGAAAAACTGATTTAGTTTTCCATTTATATTCCATAGATGGAGGTAGTTACCCTTTTTTCAGAGAAAATGTTGAATAACCGAATCGGTCACGGATTCGAATACCCGAGGTGGGAGTTACCAAGGTTACCAAATGAGAAAATTAAATGAGCGCTTAACCGGAGGATTGATTGTGAAAAATTTACTTCTCTTTGTTTTATTGATTGTCACCTAATTGTTGATTATTTTCTTAATTATTTAATATTTTAAATTCTATTGAGTTGTTCATTTTAACATAAAATGGAGGTCGAAGAACGAGTTATCAATGAAGAATATAAAATCTGGAAGAAAAATACTCCATTTCTTTATGATCTTGTAATGACACATGCTTTGGAATGGCCAAGTTTAACTGCTCAATGGTTACCTGATGTTACAAGGTAAGACTTTTACATTTGATTTGTGATGTTACACGATAATTTACATTGGTTTAATTGTTCTGTTACAGGCCTGAAGGAAAAGATTATTCAATTCACCGGTTGATTCTTGGTACACATACTTCCGATGAACAGAATCATCTTTTGATTGCCAGTGTTCAATTACCAAATGAAGATACAAATTTTGATGCTTCTCATTATGATAGTGAGAAAGGAGGTAAGTCTTGTATAATATTATATGTAAATTGAGATGTTCTTTGACTAATTTCTTTCATGTTTTCTTATTTTGTAATCTCTATGTAGAGTTTGGTGGTTTTGGATCTGTAAGCGGTAAAATTGAAATAGAAATTAAAATAAATCATGAAGGAGAGGTTAATAGAGCTCGATTCATGCCTCAAAATCCATGTATCATTGCGACAAAAACACCATCGAGTGATGTCTTAGTCTTTGATTATACTAAACATCCATCTAGACCTGGTAAGATCTTAACTATTTTTTTATAAAATTTCAAGAACGTTATATTAAGTATTAAAATTTTTTGTATTGATCAATCAGATGCCAACACTGAATGTTCACCAGACTTGAGGTTGAAAGGTCATCAAAAGGAAGGTTATGGCTTATCATGGAATCCACATGTAAATGGACATTTACTAAGTGCTTCTGATGACCATGTAAGTTTACTTTGATACTTGAGAATTGTTGAAATTAAGTCTCTTTCCTTTCCTTTTTTTTAATATTAGACAACTTGTCTCTGGGACATTAACCATCCACCTCGAGAAGCTAAAAATGTCTATGCTAAGACAGTATTCACTGGACATACAGCGGTTGTCGAAGATGTTGCATGGCACTTGTTACATGATAGTCTATTTGGCTCAGTTGCTGATGATCAAAAACTAATGATTTGGGATACAAGAAGTAACAATACTTCAAAGCCAAATCATATTGTCGATGCTCATGCTGCTGAGGTTAACTGTTTATCCTTTAATCCTTACAGTGAATTTATTTTAGCCACTGGGTCAGCTGATAAGACTGTCGCTCTTTGGGACTTACGTAATTTGAAATTAAAATTACACACATTTGAATCACATAAAGATGAAATTTTCCAAGTTCAATGGTCACCACATAATGAGACAATTTTAGCATCATCAGGAACAGATAGAAGACTTCATGTATGGGATCTTAGTAAAATAGGAGAGGAACAATCAGCCGAAGATGCAGAAGATGGTCCACCAGAATTACTGTTCATTCATGGAGGACACACAGCTAAGATTTCAGATTTCTCATGGAATCCAAATGAACCTTGGGTTATATGTTCAGTCTCGGAAGATAATATCATGCAAGTTTGGCAAATGGTAAGTTTTTATTTTCTTACACACTCTTCAAATATCAGAACTCGTTTTAGATCAAATTAATTAATTGTCATCTTTTCTCATTATTTATTAGGCGGAAAATATTTACAATGATGAGGAGCCAGAGACTCCAGCCTCAGAACTCGAACCCACCGGCCTATGAATTCCCACAAACGGACACACAGTAACCCTACGCAACAAGTTAACTCACAATATAAAAACTTCGTTATACATAAGGATCAATTTTCTCACCCACCACAACTCACTAAGGAACACGAAGGATCACCATTTTAATCACATCAAATATATTCAGTAAAATCTTCATTTTCGGTTGAAACAAAAGTCATACGAAAGTCCATCCATATCCTTATGAGTCCTCCAGAACAAAACTAAACAACCAATCATATTTCATTTTTGTATTTCTCCTCTTCTTCAAATTTATCCCCAACCTTAAATCTTAACAATGGATCCGATAATAAAATTACTTTCCATATGGTTTACCAATAATTGAATCAACTGTCATTGAACAATCAAGTAACACGATGAAACATTGATTAGAATCCTTTAATCAGAAGTAAGAAACGATTGGAAAACTAATTGATCAGTTAAAATGTGATAGGAAATCATCAAGATTAAAGAGGATCAGTTAACTGGAGATTAATGATTGTCTACATTGAAAGACAATCAATGACAGAAAATAATCTAATCATATTTTCTTAATTGTGATTCGCACTTGAGAAAATTGTGAGTAACTTAATCATCTTACCAATCAAATCTAAATTGTCTCCTGATTGTTTCACTTATTGTTTTGATTCTTCCATCGGTTGTTTTTAACTAACCTTTACTTTGTGATTCTTTGATTCATTAATTGATGAATATGATTAATGAAAGTTCCCAACAATTAGCTAATGGTGAAGTTAAACTCACCGACAAATTAATCAACCTCAAAGAGTTTGAAGTCGAGGCCCATAAACGTGTTGATAAAGACGCTTGGGGTTATTATAAATCGGGTGCTAATTATGAGGTCACTTTACGGGAAAATGAAGGTTCTTATAATAAATTGCGAATTCGACCTCGATTCTTTAACAAAGATGTAAGTCAAATCGACATGAGAACAAAAGTTCAAGGTCAACAGATCGCTTTTCCTATCGGTGTTTCACCAACAGCTATGCAAAGAATGGCCAATCCGATTGGTGAGATTGGAACAGCTCGAGGTAAGATGATTAGTTTATGATTAGCAAATGTACTAATTGTAATTAATCAGCTTGTAGAGAGATGAATACAGTTTATACGATGTCCACTCTCGCAACTTGGTCGGTTGAAGATGTCGCTCGCGAGGCCCCGGGGGGACTCAAATGGCTTCAATTGTACATTTATAAAGATCGTGAGGTGAGCTTACGATTGGTTCGTCGAGCTGAAGCCGCTGGATTTAAGGCATTGGTGGTCACTGTTGATCTACCGATTATGGGACAGAGATACGATGATATGAGAAATAAATTTGTGCTTCCTGAACATTATAAGTTAGCGAATTTTAGTGATGAATTAGCCGCGATGGAAAAAGATCACCAAGGTTTCGGATTCCAAAACTATGTTACCGATGCTTTCGATGCAACATTAACATGGAAAGATGTCGAATGGTTCAAAAATCAAACTCGACTTCCACTGATTGTCAAGGGAATTCTGACCGCTGAAGATGCGATTCTAGCAGTTGATCATGGAGCATCGGGAATCGTTGTTTCTAATCATGGAGCTCGACAATTGGACACAGTCCCAACATCCGTAAGAGAGAAATAATTATTTTCTTGATCAAACCAAAAAATCCGATCTTCGACCCAATTGAATCAAACTAACACGCAACTGACCAAATCATGATAAAGGAACTTTTTTACTCGTTTCGTTTCAGATTGAAGTTTTACCTGAAATCGTTCGAGCCGTCGGACATAAGGTCGAAATTTATCTTGACGGTGGAATCCGAAGTGGTACCGATGTACTCAAAGCGCTTGCATTAGGAGCTAAAATGGTTTTCATCGGAAGACCAGCGATCTGGGGTCTTGCATGTGGGGTAAATATCGAGATGAACAATACAGACAAATAATCAATTGATAATTGTTACATTTTTTTCTAATTGTTGATTATCTTTTTTTTCCAGGGCGAATCAGGAGTAATCAAAGTGTTACAAATAATTAAACAAGAGTTAAAAGTAGCCATGGCTCTTTCTGGATGTCCAACACTCGAGGATATTACACCTTCGTTAATTTGTCGATCCAATTCATTTTGGTCCAATTTGTAATCCTGATGAATCAAATTTGATCGTCAATATGATTGAATTGTGAAATTTTAATAACCATTCCTCTAAATTCTTATAACCAAATTTGACACAAAATTATTAAAGTTTATTGATTGTTAAAATTAGGAAAAGTTTCCAAAACAATTCGTGTATCTTATTTACTATTATCATTGAATTCGTTTGAAAATTAATTGGTCTTTTGATTGAATTTATTAACAGAGAAAATCTGATAAGTAGAGATGAATGACAATCGATTGTAATTGATTAACTTATAATAGATTGATTAGTAATCGTAAACACTTGAGTTAATATTGATCAATAGTTAATCAAGTATTCATTTTGTTTGGATGCAATTTTTCATTGTAAGAGTACAAATTATAACTAAATTTATATTCGAGGATGAATATTGAAAATTTTCAGAGCCAAAAGTTGACCAATGGTCAATCATCGTTGTTAAAAGTTTCTAAAGATTTGATTTGTGTTAAAGATTTTGAACAAGAGGCTTTTAGATTTATTCCTAATGATGCTTGGTGCTTTTATAGAGCGGGTGCTAATTACGAAGTGACCCTACGAGAGAATGAAGATGCTTTCGGTAGACTACGGATTCGACCTCGATTCTTCAATAAAGATGTTAGTAAAATCAACACGAAGACTGAAGCTTTGGGCCAACAAGTTGATCTTCCCATAGTCAAACTCGACTTCCGATCATAGTCAAGGGAATTCTGACCCCTGAAGACGCGATTCTTGCCGTTAATCATGGAGTATCTGAATTGTAGTTTCTAATCATGGAGGCGACAATTAGATACTGCAGCATCGCAAGTGATCAACTCAACAGTGAGAAATTTTATCAATAATATTTTGACATTTCTTCATTGTTTACCTGAAATCGTTCGAGCCGTCGGACATAAGGTTTTCCTGGTTTAGATTAATTTCAGAGGATAATCCTGATATCACAATTGTAGATATTTGTCGGAATTGAATAAATAAATTAACTTTTACAATATTGATGAAAATCAAATCGTTGAACATATAAACAGTTGCAAAAAATTAGCTGACAAGTTGAGGGATAAAAATGATCTCTAAGGCTCACTGGGTTGTCAATGAGTGTTTAACTCATCTCAACTGTTTCACTTGGGTATAAGCACCAGATGAAGATGATAATATTACTAAACCACAAATGAATGATTTCTCATGATACCAAATGAGTACCGTTTGTGCACTTAGAGTCATCATTGACCAGAATTGAAGACTAGTTAAATTTTGATAACCATAGATAACTGGTAGCTCTCCGTTAATTGTGATTAAAAATTTTAATTTAAAATAGTAAACAGGACGAAAGCGTTAACATTGTCGAAATTTTTATTAGATCAACTCAATTATAGTGCACAGTAATTGCCATTTTTATGCTCCCTACTGTAAATTGTACTCTCTTTCGAAAATGAGTCTCAAGCATATCAATAAATTAAACTTTAGATCTTGTGTTATTTTGATACTTCATTAGATCATTTAGTTTAATGTTTGTTTAGTATGCAGATGAGAATCTTAATATTCTGGTTCTAATCATCAAATGACAAACAATTAAAGGTTAATTAAGTCATATAATTGTGACTATTTACACACGTGAAAACAATTCAGTTGTTGCTTAGCATTAAGTGTTACTCATTTGAATAATAGATAGTCTTGCAGAATTGGTATAAAAAGAAACCGTTTTCATTGAGTTATCATTTCCAATCAATTGATCAAGTCACCAACAAGTTTAAAAAGTTTCATTCTCTTACGTGTTCAAGTAACATTTTCATTAATCTCATCATGAATTTCAATATCTTCCAAATCATCTTGGTTCTCGTCGCCTTAATCGGAGCTGCTTCAGCCGGAGGCCTTGCTTCAGCCATACCCGTACCCTCACAGGCGAACCAATCCCCTTCGTCTCGTACTGGCAGTTTTCTAAAACGGAAGTAAATATATTGTATTAGCCCAAAATCCAGAATATCAATTCCAATAACATGGTCATATTGTTTTGGTTAATCTCTTTGTAATCTCATCAATTCAATGAATGATTAATAAAATTATTTTAAGCATTTGCAAATTTCCAATTTTACTTAATCTTATTTCATTTGATTAAGCCTTCGGTTTCCATTGAAAACAAGCTCTAGATTTTCAAATGGTAGTTTAAATAAAAATGGTTTCGATCATCAGTCTTGAGAGTAATTAATATACACGTTCAGCGCTAAAATCTCAATCTTTGTCATAGATTGACCTCAAAACAAAACAATTGAATCAATACATGTATATTAACCTTAGACTGTTGTAATTTTTGCTCATCAGTGAATAATGATCAACATCAACCAACTTGGATTCAATAGTATATACTAGTATTAATAATAACAATAATATAATAACCGATAATAGTCAAGAGAATTCTGACTTAAATTCAATTCAGATTCAAATTTGACACAGAATTATTAAAGTTTATTAATTGATAAAATTTGGAAAATTTTCCAAAACATTTCGTGTGACTAATTTACTATTTTCATGAATTCGCTTGAAAATGAACTGATCTTTTGATCGAATTATATCAACAGAGAAAATCTGATAAGTAGAGATGAATGACAATCGATTGAAATTGATTAACTTATACTAGATTGATTAGTAATCGTAAACACTTGAGTTAATATTGATCAATAGTTAATCAAGTATTCATTTTTGTTTGGATGCAATTTTCATTGTAATAGTACATTATAATTCAAATTTATATTCGAATGAATATTGAAAATTTTCAGAGCCAAAAGTTGACCAATGGTCAATCATCGTTGTTAAAAGTTCTAAGATTTGATTTGTGTTTAAAGATTTTTGAACAAAACTCTTAGATTTATTCTAATGATGCTTGGTGCTTTTATAGAGCAGGTGCTAATTACGAAGTGACCCTACGAGAATGAAGATGCTTTCGGTAGACTACAAATTTGACTTTCGATTCTTCAATAAAGATGTTAGTAAAATCAACACAAGACTGAGCTTTCAATTTGGAAGTTGATGGTTAAGATGTCAAACTCGACTTCCGATCATAGTCAAGGGAATTCTGACCCCTGAAGACGCGATTCTTGCCGTTAATCATGGAGTATCTGGAATTGTAGTTTCTAATCATGGAGCGCGACAATTAGATACTGTACCTGCATCGGCAAGTGATCAACTCAACAGTGAGAAATTTTAACAATAATATTTTTGACATTTTTTCTTTCAGATTGAAGTTTTACCGGAAATCGTTCGAGCCGTCGGACATAAGGTCGAAGTTTATCTTGACGGTGGAATCCGAAGTGGTACCGATGTACTCAAAGCGCTTGCATTAGGAGCTAGAATGGTTTTCATCGGAAGACCAGCGATCTGGGGTCTTGCATGTGGGGTAAATATCGAGATGAACAATACAGACAAATAATCAATTGATAATTGTTACATTTTTTTCTAATTGTTGATTATCTTTTTTTTCCAGGGCGAATCAGGAGTAATCAAAGTGTTACAAATAATTAAACAAGAGTTAAAAGTAGCCATGGCTCTTTCTGGATGTCCAACACTCGAGGATATTACACCTTCGTTAATTTGTCGATCCAATTCATTTTGGTCCAATTTGTAATCCTGATGAATTAAACTTGATTCGATTAAGAAATTTGGTTAATACTTTAAAGCAAATAACGGGTCAAAAACAATAGTAATTAAATTAAATATCTTTGTTGATAAAATTTTATCACTTGTACTTGGATTTCCTGGTTTAGATTAATTTCTCAGAGGAAATAATCCTATTATCACAATTGTAAGATATTTGCTCAGAATTGGAATAAATAAATTTAACTTTTACAATATTGATGAAAAATCAAATCGTTGAACATATAAATTAGTTGCAAAAAAATTAGCTGACAAGTTGAAGGGGATAAAAAAGTGATCTCTAAGGTTCACTGGGCTGTCTTTTCAATGAGTGTTTTAAACTCATCTCTAACTGTTTCACTCGGGTATAAGCAGCAGAACCAAAGATGACCAATAAATTACTAAACCACCAAATGAATGATTTCTCTTCATGATACCAAATACAAGCGAGTACCGTTTGTGCACAAGCTTTTGCCGTTCCCGAGATATTATGGGTCAAAGGTGAAGTAACTTTAATCTGTAGACCAGTTACAAAGCCAATGGAAACAGCTAATAATCCACTTAGAGTCATCATTGACCAGAATTGAAGACTAGTTAAATTTTGATAACCATAGATAACTGGTAGCTCTCCGTTAATTGTGATTAAAATAGTAAACAGGATGAGAGCGTTAACATTATTGTAAAAATTGAGAAGCCAAATGTTACCATCAACAGCGGGTAGGACACTTTTGGTGAATATTGAATTTAGAGAGACAAAAAAACTAGCAGCAATACCGAAAAAAATACCAGTAATTGTTAACGATCCTTGAAGTGATTCTTGATCAACACCAATGATAAAACCAATTATGATTATAATACAACATAGAATTGCTTTGATTGAGGTGATCTCTTTAAGAATAAAATACGTAAGTATTACATTGAATACGGTTGTTAATGAACGTCCAACAAAATAGAAAGCAACACCAACATATTTAAGACATAAATTGTTCATTGTGATCATACCAACAAAGACAATTGATAAAGGGAACACTTTTCTTATAACCGCTGGTCGAAGGTGTAATTTGGGAAAACCAAGCCAGTGGATCCATGAGGGTCGCAAATGTCCAATACAATTACAAATTAGACAGAATATAATTGTACATAAACACTGATAGAAGGTAATAAATAGAGGAGCGTCAAAATTAACCGATTTATCACTTAGAATATGTTTGTTAATAAAAACCATGGAAATTGAGACAATCCAGTAAAGAGCAACAACCAAAGTTATTTCGATGTATTTACTGGTCAGAGATTTCTCTCTAATTGGTTCTAATAAGGGTTGTTGTAAGGTCATCGTGATTGTTGAGAATTAAAGTGAAAATATAGAAAAGAATAGAAATTAAATTAATCAACTGAACAGTTGATTGTTTTCCATATGAACAACATTTGGAAAAAGAAACAATTCTAAAAGTTGAGCCGATTGATAAGCTTTTCAGTGAGAGCCGAAAGAAAAGTGAATTATTTTCTCGGCTCATTTTTCGAGACAATTTAAATTAACATTACATTATAATTTGAATAAACATTTACAATGAGTAAACTACATTATTAGAACAATTTAAATTGACTCTTGAATTTAGAATGACAAGAGAAGATAAAACTATTTAGGTTCAATGGGAAGATGTTCATTGTCAAAGAATCTGGTTGTATTGTGATAGATTTTTCCAGGAATTGGACATAATCTTTTATCTCTTCTCATGAGGGCCGTATCCTGGATGAACCAGATTACCCTGTCCCTTGGAATACCAAATTTCTCCCATTTACACAATGGACCAATAATAATTGGAGATAGTCCAAAAATTCCAGTAAGACCAACGGAAGGAAGAACCGACCACCACATAGTAAATCAACAACGAGGGATCAAAGAAAACACCACCAAAAACCAAATAAATCGAAAACTTTACAATAAACCAAATACACAAGAATATTGGGAAGATGTAAAGACACAAGAAAAAAGGAGAGAAAAAAAATTAAATCAATTAGTCAATTGGAAATTAATTTAAATTAAAAAGATAAACACTTACCCTTGATGAGAAAAGATTGAGGTTGAATTCAACTAAGAGAATTTCCTCAGTCAGTCAGCCGAATATCGATCAGCTTGAAAGAGAAAATGAGTTAGTTCCATAATCGATCGGTAGATGACAGAAGTGGAACTTGGATTTTCGTATAAAAAGGAGGCTCAACTTTCGGAGAGAATTTAGAATCGACTTGACTTCCACCTAGTGGATGTTCATCCATTTGTTTTGGAGAATTTGAAAGTTGAAGATGTTTTTTGGTTTTCTTTTCTCTTGTTACCTCTAAATCTCCGTCTTTTTAAATGGCTAAATTTTTTGACACCTTTGTTGTTTTTCATCTTTAATTAACTTTAATTAATCAATATGCCATCGCGAAAATACATCTACCTTGATGAGTATGATTCTCGAATTGCTTTATACTCGGATGAAGCCTTCCAACATGGGATCACATTTAATGCAAAGGTAAAATTTTTCTTTTCTTCTTTTTTCTTTTTTTCTTTGTACCTTTAGTTTTTCCACTTTCTTTTTAACCACCTATGTGTACCTGTTCTCTTTCATTTCTTTCTTCTTTGTCTCTTTCTTTTTATCCTCTCTTTCTTTCTCTAGTTTTTCTTTTTCTCATTGTGTGTGTGTGTCCTCTCCTCCCTTTACTTTGGGCTGTTTTTTTTAATGTCATTTTCTCCTCTCCTTTGATTTTCTATTTTTAATATTTGTGTTCTATTCTCTTTTTCTTCTTGTTTTCTTGTTCTCTTTGGTTTTTACAGTTTATTGGAGTATGTGAGGTTCCTCGGCCTAATTCAAGAGTAGAAATTGTTGCTGCCATGAGACGAATACGACATGAATTTAAATCGAAAGCCATAAAAAAGCGGAAAGTAACTATTGACATTTCCCTTGAAGGTTTGTAAATCTCCATGTTCTTTTCTCTTTTTCTTTCATTACCATTCTAATAACTTTCTTATTATTATCTATCTCCAATCAATCGAAATCTTATTCTTTTTAGTATAATTGTTCATGAACATTTTCATATATACAGATTATATAGACTCTTGTAGATGATAATGATGATGATGATCAACTTTTTCTTATCTGTATGTAGCCAAACAATCATTAATGATGATTCACTAACTTTCGCGGCTAGTTGAGTTTCTCATCCTGATGATTCTTGATCATCTGAGCATAACAATTGAATACACTGTTAGATTACCACCTTAACCACATATAATCAATAGTGAGAGATACAGAGAGATAGATCCAAAAAAAAGAGTATCAAATTAACACACACACACACCAACCAACTAATAACAAATTTTCCAACAAATTAAATTCACTGTATAATATTGTGTACATATGATCAGTAATAAGAATCTTAATGATCATCACACCGAATATATTTAATTCTTAACTGAAAAATTAATTTAAAACTTTCTCTCAATGATTTTCTTCTTAGGAGTCAAAGTGGGTCTCAGAGAAAAGGCCAAAATCCCAACTCGATTAACACTAATGCAACATCCAATTTACAGGTTAGTTACTTTGTTTATTGATAAAGAGAAGAGAAAAACATTCAACCAAATAACAATTACAATTAATCATCAACAATCAAAATATATCACATATGAATGATAAAGCTAAAACAAATCATCAAGTTCAATGCACTGTAACCCTGAGGGTTGAATTTTAACCGTTCCAACAATGAAACTGGGCACAAATCAGTAATACCTCTCCCTCCTCTCCACCCTCACAATCAACACACACACATGATTAACTAAAATTTTCTGCTGACTTTCATTCAGTTTCATAGGAACTATAGCCAAGAAAATATTGTTCAAATTTCAGTCGATTATCAAAACATGTTGGGTAACTTGTTATCTTCCATGAAAGTTTCAAATCAAATTGTTAGTCTATAGTTCGTAAGACTTTTCGATTATTGAGCCTCAGGGAAATCCAAAATGAACTTTATGATCGTGTTCATACCACCCACTTCCTTCACCCTCATTGCTGATTTTTCCATCTTCTTCCTGTATTTTACTGATAAAAAGAGAGAGATCAAATGAACAAAGAGATAAATTCAATGAGTAAAAATAAGTGAATCATAAAAAAGTTCAAAAAAAAATAGAATAGAAAAAAAATTACCAAAGTTTATTTGACAAAAGAAAAAAAAAGTTCTAAATGATAAACCAAGAACTGATTTCTCTCTTGTCTTCCCTTTACATTACTAGTTGATTACTATTATTACTCTGCTATCATGATAATCTTAATGATTATCGATGTTGGTTGAATACTAATGATACCATTTAGCTGAATATAAGAATAAACAACCTCAATGAATAAAGTATTGACCATTCAAATGTTATTACAATTAATCGGTCATTCAAATTGGTATATATTTTTTTCCTTCTGATTGTGTATTAATATCATGATTCATATGGAAGATAATGAAAGATGAATAATGATGATCATCAATCTTTTCATCGATATTAAAATGTTTCCCTAATCATCTTGCCAACATTTTTCCATCCTCATCCTCATCCACCTCCTCCTAATCATCAGCATCATCATCACCATAGTCAATTGATTTACACTGGAACAAAATATATGTTGATGATTCTCCTCTGAATACCAAACTCTCCCCACTTACCTTGTCATTTGTGATGATAATATTTTCATTATATGAATTAAGGATTCACAATTTATTTCCTGGGACTATCAATGTTATATTAATATTATTGCATATATCATGTTTCACCTTAGATAATTTTTCTCTCTCTCTCTCTCTCCCAAGAATTTATCTCTTCAGAATTTCATGATCACCACTAACACCATGATGATGATGATATTCAGTCCTTAGGGTTCATCTATTATAACGCTTTTGATAACTTCTTTTTTTCCCTTGTTCTCTATCTCTCCATGATTCCTGCCATTCTTTTTCATTTTCGAAGTCAACATTTTTCTTCTTCCTGTATTCATATAATTCACCGTCTCTTATTATCATTATCACCATCATCATGATTATCATGTTATATTCATATAAAGTATCAAGCACTTTGAATGGAAGTGTAATAGTCACTATTGATAACCATTGAATGTGTATCTTTTTCAACACATTATTCAATTTCTTTATAGTTGCTTTTTCCACCATTGATTGTTACAGAGACTGTTATTTTTTTTCATGGATTCTCCTTGAAATGCATGATAAATAACCATAAACTCATGAGATGATGATGATAAAGTGAATCATTGGTTTGATTCTGAATAGTATAGACATTTTTTTTTCTTCTCTGTAATTTATCCTCGTATTTACCTGTGAAAACCGTTAACTGAATACTGAATAGTATTGAACTTTTTCATTCCACCCTTTTCCCTCTGTTGATATTTATCGATTTATAAGAATCACAACTTTGATAAAATTAATCTAAATCATTAGATTATTAATGATCACCTTTTCCTGATGATGATGTGAGAGTGACAATAATTGAGTCTAATGATGAGGTGTCTAATTAATGAGCGATTCAAGTTGAAGATAATTAAAAGTAGCAAATCAAAAGGGTTTCTCGTAATGATTGACTTCCATTAGAAATAATTTGAAAAGACTGATTAAGATAATTATTATTATTAAGATTATTTCTAATTGAATTAGAGAGAATCAGACTTGTTTTTTTTTGGTGATCTAATTATTGAGATCCATCAAAATCCAATTGAAATGACTTTTCCGTAACAATTAACAACTTTTTCCTATCTTAATCAATGGTTTTCTAATCATCATCATAATCATCACATATACAATACAATCTGATTACTTAATGATTACTATTACTTTCTCTTGATTGTGATCACAAATTAGTTTTTGCTATTGACGTTGGCGTTGTTATTTGTGATGATGATGAAGATTAAGATGATGATTAAGTTAACATAGTTACATTATTAACGTTCATCTATTATCTCTGAGTCTAATTGTGCTTGAACTTGATTGAATGATGAAGGGGATGAAAAATTTACTCAACAAATATATAATCCAATGTGCAGATTAATAAATGAAGATGAGGTGAAACTTTTCACCATTATCATCATCATCATCATGTTAACTGTATTACATACATGTAGTTATTGTAAACCAATGATTCGTGACTATTTCTCCATTTCTATCAGAACTTTATCATTGATGGAATTATTTCATCATCATCTTTCTCTCACTGAATCCATGTTATCTAACCAGAACTTAAACCATAGTTAGACCTTAATTAAGATTGATTTTCTATCCTTTTATATACTCTTCATTTATCTCTCACTCACTCTCTCTATAGAATCTTATTCCTTTTCCGTTTTCATCATCCTTTGATCTTCATCTTGCCAGCCTTTAGGGTCAATCTAATCTTGATAGAGTTATAAAAATGATGAAATGATAATGTTGATAACGTTAATCCACACCGATGGAAACTCAATGTTATCATGATGATTATCATGAGGCTAATATTGTATTAATATCTATTATAATTATATTGTCTATTCTCCATTGTATTATCAGTTGTGTATCTCCTTTAATCCTTGATGACAATCTCTCAGTGTTTGTCAATCCATTCAATAACCTTCATCTCTCTCTCTCTCTCTCTCACACACACACTTCTATCCTAATCAATTTCACTCCCATCATCTTTTTTTACTTAACACCAAAGACTTAATCTATCAGTAAATTACATTTATTTTCAATTCTTGTTCAATGAGGCTTCAATCTAGGATTTTCAATGTATAAGATCAAATGAGTGAATCGTAATAATCCTGATCCTCGTTTCCTTCCCTTATGCTCATCATCTGAACATTAATGAAAAAAAACAAAAATTAACTTTAAATCCAAAGATTTTATCATAAAATTATCTCTCTCTTTATGCTCTTACCACCATGGGCTCTGAACTTTTGTTGAGAAAAATAAAACCATAGGAATTACTATTAGAAATGAACACAAATACTGAATTTTCCCCTGTGAATGAAAACTAAACCAAATACATTGAATCACTTATAATAAATCGTATTAATTGTTTTGTATGTTTATTTATATTCGTAATTGTGATTGGTGATCTTGTTTTTCATTAGTATGCAATTTGTGTTAATTTGATTATATTTGCTTTTTTGTTTTAATTTTATTTCCAATAATCAACAATGATGATAAAATACTATAAACAATTTATTTCTTCATGTTCATCAACCATTGACAATTTGATTGTTTTCATGGGTAAACAGAAAAGGAAAAAAGTAAAATAAAAACAATAACTTTTCACCTCTTTTACATTAGTTATTTTACTAAAACGTTTCTCTCTCATTCTGTATGAATTGCAATTACCATGCAATTCTTGGTATTGTATTATTATTATTGTTTCCTTTAATTCTGAGCAATTTCCCATGTAAAAATTGATACATATAAATCAACCAATTTATTGTATCATTTTAATCTAACAACAAAGTAAAAAGAAATAGAAGAAAAAAGAAAAAGTTTCTTCGATTCGAAAGAGAGAAAGAGAGAGAAAATCCTATCCTTTTCTATCGAACAGGATGAAAATGAAGAGAATGAGGATGAAAACAATTTCAACAGTTTTTCATCTTCTACATCTTCCAATATCATTATCATTATCATCTCTCTCTCTCTCTCTCTCTCCTTCTCTTATCTTCCTGTCTGAATTATTTTCTACTCCATTTTGTATTATCTAACAACAGAGAGCCAACTTGTTATTGCTTTTCCATCTTCACCCAACATACTGAATCTTGTACACCTTTTTTTTTGCTTCATCTTCTCACTTCCACTGGATGAGATTTCATCTTCCTTTGGCTTAAAGATTTCCTATCATAAATTTTATCATATTGAAGTTTCCCTTTCCGGTTTTGCTTTTAATTTCAAGTGAAATCGTTTACCTGATTTTGTGAAAATAATCTCTTCCCTCTTTCAATTCCCAAGTCTTTATCACTTTGATATTCATCTTTCAATGTAAATCCATCGCTTACCTTTAATAAGAAAAGGATGATGATGTTTTTTTTCTTGCTTCACTCTTTTCCCATGATGATAAAAAAATTTTTCTTCATTTTTAAATTTTCTTCAAGTGTTGAACCTTAAGAAATTGCATATTGCTGCCTGATAGCGTTTTCTGTTAGACTCAGCAAGTTATTTCATGATTAAATTCTTACTCTGATATTTATCTTTTTTCTCTTTCTTTTTATATGCTCATTAATAAGCTTCTAGAATTGCTATTATCATCATTAGGTTTACTCGTCATCATCATGATCCATTTCCACCGAAACCCAAAGATTCTGAAAGAATCTCCTGAACAATCCCTATTATCGTAAAAACTAATTTTTTTCTCTTCCTAATAGATTGTAATTATCTTGTTTTCCAATGCGTAATAATCCTCTCAATCACTTTGACTATTCTTGTCCATATTCAGGTCATCTTATTGGGTTCCTTTCACTGGTCAACAGAAATGCACCTATGTGTTTATATCTGAACCCTTTTCCCCTCATTTTCCATAACATGTTATTAGAT